CAAAAATACAAATTAGATAAAAAATATAATAAGTAAGTATTTTATATCCCATAATTTCAGACACTATGCGCCTCTGTTGTATCCAGGGCCTGGCTACATGTCTGTTATAAGTAATTCTTCATCCACATAAGTCTGTAGCGTAAACTAGGCGTATGTCTGTGTTACTTCATTGAGTTGGATTTAAATTGGTCTTGTTGTCCTGGTCAAACTAAATTTTGTGAGGGGGGATTCCAAGATTTGGAGCGGATAGTGTACTGCACTGATGGTTCAAGACCACCAATAGACAAACTAAAATTTCAATGCATATGAAGAAACAGAGACAAATCAAATTTCCTGTTCAGGCTGCGTCCAAACAGGGACTACAAACTTATTATGTAAATTAAAAAGTAGAACACAATTAAGTTAGGAAAAATAAAGAATATTCTGTACTGTTTTTCGGCAATCACCCTACCCAGAGTTCCCAGTTATTCACCCAACTGCCACGTGTCAGTATAATCAGACAAACAACTCGTTTGCTTTTATATAATGTGTTTTATAAATGCTCGACATGCGAGAATTCTGAAATAAATAAAAAACTACATTGTGTTATTGTCTGCCTTGTTCAATCATGTGCTCTGAAACGTCACAAGGATTGTAAGACTTGACCAGGGTTATGAAGTTCCTGAGCACTCTATCGTCGAGAAGGAACTGGTTTCGATTTTGTTTCATAGACAAAACTGCCTATTGATTGCTGCCTACCTCATGGTGATCTCATATTTAGCAGAAACATACGCTAAATTGTAAATACACCACCTAGGAGTAAATATTGAGCGAATCCGGAGTATTTAGCGTGAATGTCGTAAGCGGGTGTGCAAGAATGATGCAGTCACGCAGACCGTAAATGGTGCATTGTTTTTTTTTCTTCCAAGTCAATAATGTGATTTCACACATACAATGAATATCGAGCTACTGGGCCGCCAATATATGTCCTCAGTTCAGTGAACATCACTTCAACTGTTCATTTAAATATTTCGAAAATTGCGCAACAATATGTTTTCTGAAAATGTGTTGAATGCAGTAGCAGTTACATCTTTCGCGTGACTCTATATGAAGAGACTATTTTTTTTAAAGTGGGACAGAGAATTTTCACAGCAACAGCAGCACTGTCAGCTAATATATAAATGAACGAGTGTATATCCATTAGCAATATCTACATCAATGGAAATGTATGCTACTTCAAAAAAATCGGAGTAGGAAAAATCTTGCATTCATTATTACAGGAATTTCACCCGCAATGACAAATTAGGAAACTGCGTCTTGGAATTATTTTTTTTTCTAAAGCAAGGGAGCAAATGGTGGAGTAAAAGTCTGAAAACGAAGGTTATAATATTGCAAGGAAATAACCTGGGCAGCTAGCAAATGAATCACGTGTGAATGCTCGTGATCCCGTGAGGGATGTTGTCGAACGGACCCTATGTAAGTGTGATTGATTAAATTAATCCAGTTTGGCAAGAATCGGTAATCCCTGTGCAAATGACATGGTACCTTAAACTGAGTTACAAACGATATGAGGTGGTGGAAAACGTACACGAACCCCAAACACTATATTGCTCTGGTAACAATGATAATTTCTTTGAGATAGCGTTACCCGAGTAGTCAACATACACAAAGCGTATTGATGATAAAAAGACCAGGATGTAGGTATTTTAAATTCAGAGCATATAGCACACCAACTGGCAGAGACAACTGACCAACAAGATTTACTGGGACCCAGATTCCAAACACGTTCTCACCTATCGTCCTGGTGGTGGTTTTTTAGCTATTAGTAAATAATGACAGTATATATAGTATATATACTCGGTAAGTAAGTGTTAGAATTAGTTTATTTTTGCTGATGGTCCAGTTTATAATAATTAACAAGAGTGTTTATATCAATTGTGACTTCCGATATTCCTTTTTTCTATTATTAGTAGTGGAAATCTATTTTATTAAAATATTATTTATTTCTCAATAATTTAACTATTGTATCACATTAAAACATTTGTAGCTCGCCCTTTAACTCATTTTCAAATCGCGATTTACACTTCCTGGGATTAATGCACTCGTGAGCCTCATTCCCATCCATGCAGGAGATCATGTGATCACATCCAGACACTGTGCGCTACATATAGCATAACACCAGCAGACCAGATCTGGACTTGTAAGATGACTGTGGATACTCGCCCCTGTTGAGCTATGTAGCGCAAAAAATCAAGTATAAGTGTCAGATATGACATTTCATTAAAGCAGGAGAGTCGTCACCTACGCATGCGTCAGGTGGCCATAGCGTGTCATTGTTTACAAAAAAACGTCTACCCATGAGCCTTTGTCTTATCTTTGTGTTGTACATTTCGTGATATTATGTCAGAAAAACAAATTACCTTAATCTTTTATGTATTTAATGCCCCCACATATATTGTTCGGGAAGAGAATATTGAACAAATACTAAAACACCTGCAATTTAATCGATTGAGCGGAAAATGTTGAATTACGTAGGAACAAACTAGAAACAACATTTGTGAATTTACCAGAAATGTATTTTTTTCTATTGCGGGAACACAACTCAAACATTTTAAAATAGGGGAATGCTATCTAAAATAAATATTAACATCTTTTGTTTTTCAGAAAGCTAAAACCATGAATGTCATCAAGAATGTTCTTGTCATACTGTTTGTTGTCACAGTTTGTGGTAGGTCGTATTGTGTTCTCATTTCCTATATAAGATCAACTTCTCTAATTCTTTGGGTAACATCGGTAGCAAAAATAAATATTTACAAGGTTTAACAACTTTTTTCATCTTCACAAAATAAACCTTTGTCATTGTTTTCATAGTTTTGATCTAATTTTGAATATGGCCTGTATAAATCATTCTTTGTGGATCAAAATCAACAAAAACATTCATGTAAAAACGGGCAAAGTGCTGTGTCATTGCTTAGTGAAGTGATGGGTCACAGTAATTACAAACATACTTCTAATTAATAATTAATAATACAATTATATCATAGTTTGAAAAAAATATTACTTCGGTTTATCAGGCAAATTGAAAAAGTTATTCATACTAATATAGTTGTCGTATTGTGATTTTGAGATTCATATGTTTTTGGCAATAATCTTCAAAATTTCAGAAGTATGTGCGGCTTTTAATTGCTACGACTGTGACCTCCCTTACATCTATGATGATGATGATGAAGAATGTTTAAAACCTGGTGACAGCACAGATACCGAACAATGTAACAGTTACTGTTCGGTAAGTAAATTCACGTCTTTCCCTTATAGTGTTTATGCGGATGATTTAAAAACCCTTTTT